TTGTAACCACAATTTGTAAAAAAAAATAAAGTGAGAAAGAAAAAATGAAGTTAGAAATGTTTTTTAAGACAAATAAACAAAAACAACCCATATTTGTATAATAAACATTACCTTTTTTGTATAGCAATCGCGTTCCAAAAGTCGCGTTCGAAACTTTTGATAACCCTCTGTATTTTGACTAGCTCTTTTTGTTTGATGGGGTGTTTTTTAGACACCGTAATTTGAAAAACATAATCTGGCATGACGAATAGATCTACCGCACCAAAATTTTTCACGGTTGGTCGGATAACCACATCATCATCGTTATAATTGGAAATATTCTGTGCAGTTCGGACGTATTTAATGTTTTTTTCTTGAATTTGTATGTTTATTCTCTCTCTACGATTATTCTGATAATGCACCAAAAAAGATAAGGTCAATTTCTCTTGATTACTATCAAAGATGATAATGGGTACTTTATTACCTGCAAACATCTCATATTGTATCCAAAATTTTCACCTCTAGATGTATTACATATAATTCAAACATAATTCCCCTAGCGTTGATGAGGTCTAAAGGATTCTGAATTTTCTGCAGAAGCTCGTCCCACCTAAACTTCTCTAGTTTTTTCATGATTTTATTGTAAATATGACTCGAAGCCCATTCAAAGTGGTAATCTTCGTAAGAAGGATCCGGCCATCGGTGAATAATTCGGTTACTGATTTTAACAAAGCTGGCATTTCGGTAAAGCATAGTATAAGATCGTTGAAGTTTTTGATCTCTAAAATAGCTTCTTCAATGCGTTCCATAGATTTCTTTACAATTATATCATAAATCACATCATCTGATGGATTTTTATATTTTTAATCAGGCGTGCTGGTATCCGAAGAACATATCGTGGCTCCCCTCCGGCCTTGTCAGCGAGATCAAGCATCAAATTTTCTGGAACCTGCGAAAAGACATGTTGCCGGCAGGTTAAAAGCTCTTCCATCGTCCATGGTGGCATACAATACTTATTCACGACTCGCTTAGAAAACTCTTGAAATTGATCTTTGAAGCTATTTGGTGATACAGCAACCACTGTCCTTGCTTTGACCAAAGCGGGAGCTACACTGTCCACTAGGTACCATGTTTCGGAAAGGTAGAGGCGGTTCAAAATATCCTCAATTTTTCCAACAATGAGATTTGAATTCTCGAAACAGTAAAGTAAGTTGCCTTGACAGGGTTGGAAAATGACAGTGGCATTATCAACATTACATAAAAGCTGTATTAACAAATAAATCAGAAAACACGATTTACCAATACCCGACGTGCCAGTTATGAGAAACCTGGGATCGGGATCGGGATCGGTGACAATTCGATACAAATCCTTATAAGCTTGCCGGATATATAGAGCGGATTCCTCTGTGACAAACAGTTCATTATTAGGGTTAGAACTAAAGATGATATCTTGTAAATTCGGCTCCTGGGCATCAGTTAAAGTTGACGATCCTGGGATACGTTGGTTTCGCTTGAGAGAGGCAACTACCTCCAATATGCCTTCAAATGATGGATCTGTAAGGGTAATTAAAAAAAAATCATTAGTTCACAGATTATCAAAACAAATATTCCAGTAAAAATTCCAACTCTCTTTGGTAGTGAAAGCTTATCTCCTATCTTTTGTCGCTTGGTCGAACGTTGTTCTTTAGTTAGAAATGAAGATGAAAAGGAGTGAAAGAGAAATAAGAAATGAATCAGTGTAGCAAATAGGACATAGTGCAAGAGCGGAAATGAACAAGCCTATTCTCGCGTTGACCAAAATTTATTACGACTCACTTACCAGCAACGGGTACGGCAGGAGACACATTCTCCTTTTCCTTTTTCTTTTTAGGAAGATTGTGAGTAAAGATCCTTAACATAAGGAAGGTACATAGCCGATTCCTCCTCCAGAGTCAGCAGACCTTAATCAAAGAATCTCATAGCTGGACGCTCTTCTTCCCCATGCTCGCAGAAACAGGGCGTAGCACACTTGCTATGCTCGTTAATACCTTCACAACCTTGAGAATGTGAAAATACTAAACTTTAAATCCTTTAGTTTGTGTTTTATCGATATAAGTTTCTGTCCTTCTCTTGATTTTCGATCTATTATTCTCATCAAAGTTTTCAGCTCACTTTCAAGAGCCTGGTGTGACTTTCTTGTTGACTTTTGAATTTCTTCAAAGAAAAAATCATCCCACGTTTCTATCCCCCATTCCGTAAGAGGCCTTCTCCAGTAATTAGTATATCGAACTTCATCCAAGATTTTATCAGACAACATATTTAACGAGGTGTAGAGAAAAAAATAATAGATAGAACAAACGCGTCTGGTTGATTTTATCTGGGCGTGGTTTACCTTATAAAGTAGTGATCGGCAAAAATCATCACCGGCATCACACCCACTTTTTTTTCAGTTTTTATTAAGTATTTCAGGAACTTAGAAATTTTCGAGTGAAAATATCATGTTTTTCACATCCTCTTATTTGTCACGTCTTACCAAAAAACCGCGCCCACAAAACGGGTGTGCCAGTTACGCAAAGGGTGATGCACTGTATACGTGATTTGGTTTAATTCCTTCATCTAGTATCACATTATATGATCGCGATTTTGATGATCACGTTCTGAGAATTGGAGTCGTGACCGTTAATTTGAAATTTAGAAAAACAATGAATTATTGATCAAAACTTTTGGATGCTAGACAAACAAACTCCTTAATTTTTTGTATTCTTTCAGGAACAACAATTTCCAGTTTTTCATCATACCATACTTCAAGAAGGATTATTCCATTATCTTGACATATGCATCTTTTTTGCCGATCATGATTAACAATTTCTTCAAATTTTTTGACATCTTTATACCAACTGGTGCTATGAAACTGATGCTAAGCCCCTTGTACCTCCAATGCAATTCGATATTTTTAGAAGAAAGCATCAAATTCTAATTCATTCAAGAAAGGAGAACAATATTCGATTATAGGTTCCTCATTAAGAATTTCCTTATTTTTCTTAGTTTCTCTTTCTGTCTGATTCTTCTCTAGTTTTAAAATTCTAGCCTTAAGCTCTATGAAGCTCTATCTCAATGCTTCAAACTTAGCTTTCTCGTCAGTTTTCTTAGCCTCAAGCTCAGTAATCAATACTTCAATCTCAGATAACATAATAGATAATATTCTTATATACAAAAGAATTATTCAATGTTATGTAACAAATGTAAAACTGCTTTATATACATCAAAAAAAAATAAATACAATATTCAGGAGCTAGCCTATAATACAGAATGTTTTATGCTAATATGTATACGAAGCGCCCTATAGTTAATTATTCTTTTTTTAGGTATTCTTAGATCTTAGCTTTTTTATTCTTAGGCTTTTTCTTAATATCCATCCTATCCTTCAATAACCCAACAATAACCTCCATCACCCACTTAACACTTTTGTGTAATTCAGCTTCATTTTCTTCTCTAGCGATAGCCTTAGTGAGACTAACATGATATTCAATTTCACTCATACATGAAATTTCTTCTGATTTGTATAGAAGAAAGTACCACTCCATAACTATAATGATGATTCTATAAAGATAGTCATAATTTTTTCTAAAAGCATCATCTAACTTTTGTTTTCTCTTATTAATTTAGTAAGCACTTTTGCATTGCATAACATTCTATAAGATGGAAGTAAAGCTCGTTAGTAGGAGTTTAACCAGAAATAAATTACAGCTAGACCATGTTAACATATCTGAGCGAAATCAATATCGATTCAATGTTGTTTTCTCTCTGTAATAGCAATTAATTCTTCAATGCATTTAATAGTATAATCAACACGACCACCGCTTTCTTCACCATTGACTTCTAATTACAAATTTAGAAAGATTTCTTTTTCAATGCATTTTTTAACTATACGGATACATGTATGAAGGATGGTTGAAATATATTCACAATGAACTACTTTGTTACTGTCAGTGATTATCCCCATATTATCTATTCATTAATATAATGATAAAGAGCCCTGTCTTTGTCTTCAATGTTATAGATCTCTATATACAAAAGTGAAACAGGTTATATAGAATATATATAACAAAAAAAATGATATACAAAAACTTACTTAGTGTAAATTGAGAGATGGCTATTATTCGACTATCTTCAATATCATATTTCACTGACACTTCTTTCAAACTGTGATATAACGAGAACAAACATTTCAGCTTTTTTTTGAGAACCTTAACCTCTTTTACAAGTAATATTATGAGATCTCTTTCTAACCTGTCCTGTATAAACTTTTCTTCAGTCATCTCAAGAAAGGAGAGACTGTTAATTTTTTTTACAAAGTATTCCTAAGTCATCATCATCGAGCTTGAGGTTCTGCTCTTTCAAAAAATTGATAAGGATCTCTGTATTCCAGTTCTCAACTAGGTAAAAATCATATTCAGCTGTTAAGATAGACATAGTACTTTTATATGGTTATTAAGCTCAGACAAAAAAAATAGTGTTACGTTCTAGAGTGAAATAAAAATTTATTTCTGGGAAAGTACTGGACGTTAATATAAGTTTTTATGTCACATAGGCATTGTATCATTTCACATGATCCATTTCTTATATACATTCGATAAAATAATACTTTATTATAAAATAAAAAACATTGCTAAAAGCCAGACTATAATACATAAAATTGCGAATATTTCGCATACTAGTTATAATAATCATATACATCTTCTTTTACAAGAACATGATAAATGTCTATAGTGATATTCTTATCAAAATAATCAGAAATTGAGCCCTCTTCTCGCATAGCAACATATTTTATAGGTTCAGGATGATATGCATAAAAATAAAATAGAACATTTCTGAATGGCTATGGTAACTGTTGCTGAATCTGAGTGTGGAGATTTCTGACTGAATTTCTAAGGGGAATTGTAATCGTTAAATGAAAATTATTATGTAGAATTCCAATGAAGCCACCAGTGGGAATAATAAGGCAGGTGAGAGTAATATTGACTATTTTTGCTTTCCTAAATGTAAGAGCCCGCTGTGAAAAATTACTTTACTCACATGTAAGTATGACTTCTGTTATATATATACCTTATTTTATGTTATTTTCTCTGAGAAAATTTATTGAGAAAAGTTAGCTGAACTTCTATATACCATACATGCTTTATATCTTGTTAAGAAAAAGTTAAGGAGGTATGAATCATAATTAGTATTATCATCTGATACCAAGAGTTCTATGAAAGTATATGCAAACAGAATTTTCAAACCTTTTCACATATAGATCTACTAGAAAGACTATAGTTGGTTTTATGTCTGGTGATCTCAAAATTGTGAGTCCTTCAGCCTTTCTAACATATGCTTTTGCCATTATTATTTGTTTATAGGGTAGGTCCTGTGTTGCAACTAGATGCTCTTTCATATTTTCTCACATTTGTTTGGGAAAAAAATAGAAGGACTTGGTCAGCATATATATTTTCTTTTCTTTATATGCAAAATTTAATATATCGTACAGACCTATTATGTGATCAGCCTATTTTTGTCACACATAAGTACATGCATTGGCTGAACTATTAAGGCACTTCACAAAGTATTATGCATGATTCAGCAAATTCTTCTGAACTGACGATCACTACTCTATGTTAATGAACACTATTTTGGACTCTAAATTAAATGTATGCTAACCAGAGGTAAATACAATCATGACAAGCAATACTAATAATAATTCTGATCAAATCAATGCTTAATTATATGGTAAGCTTTTATATAAGAAGAAAGATATAATAGTTATTCGGAAAAAACTCAGTATGTTTCCAAATCCAGGAAAGGGACCTATTGAGAGTAGAAATCAAACAGCATTGAATCAAAGCAAAAAAGGAAAAATACTTGAAGATTCGTTTGGACTGTTATTTGATTTAGTAGGGGAATTAATAAATATACAGGAAGATCTCGATATGGATTGCTACCCTGTTCTTACTATATTATATAATAATATACATGATCTTGAGGGAGAAATATATGGAAAAAAGTCACTTGAGATATTATATCATTTGCTTTTATATTTGGAAGAGAATATAAGCATGATTCAGAATGTTTTTGGTATTGTCAATCATTCTGATCAGGAAATAAGTGAATTAGAAGAAGCCAATAAAAATGCAAAAGCGTATCTTCAAAACTTCTGACAGTTCCTTACCTTTAGTGCTTTTGGCAGAAAATGATCCAGATATGTTAATACAGAAATTCATCTATAGGAAATGGAAATGTTTTATTTTACTGGAAAGTAACTACCATTATTTCAATTATGTGAAAATTCAGCTAGTGTTCATTAAAGATGATACTGCAACTAGTTGCAACTATGTGATGCTTATTTGTCACCAGTTGTAACTAGTTGTAATTCAATTTTTATTAATATTGCAATCAGTTGCAATCCTGTGATGCTTATTTGTTACCAGTTGCAACTAGTTGCAATGCCATCTTTAGTGTTCATGTCTAGAATAGGTAAGCTAATCTATATTTTTTTTATCACATAGGAGTATACGTGAGGCTCAGCAAAAAATCTTTTAAGCTAATGATCACTACTCTAAATTAGTTAGATCGATAGAGTACGATTATTCTGCTTGATCAGCTAGTAATTTCTAAAAAGAATATTGCGAAAAGTTTTTCTTATATACGTCTAATGGTAAATCTATTAGAGATAATTGAAAAAAATGTGATATCTTTCAAGCTAAAGATCAGCACTCAATTCAGTTTCAGAGTTAGAAGATTCTGAATCAGAACAGTAATCTTTATCAAAATTTTTGATATAAATATTTGGATTTAGCTGATCTATGGCTTTTTTGCTAATATTTTCATATCCTTCAGAATCTAGAAATTTTAAATTAAGAAATGAGCGAGCAATTTCTCTGATAGTTATACTAGTAATATTGCAATATCCAAGATTAAGATGCTGAAGTTTTGGGCAAGAACATATAATATTACAAATTAATAGTTCACTGATAAAAACATAGCAAACCAGATTGAGATATTTTAATTTATGATAAGTATGAGCTAACGTTTCAGTAACCTTATCAGTGATATCATTATAACTAATCTCTATATGTCTTAAATTCAGAGATCTTTTGATAATAGCTATAATTAATCTATCATCCCATAAAGTCATGGTATCACAAAAGTTAAGATACTCTATATTGAAGCATCTTTACATTAAATTATTAGCATTTTTGATATTCACTTACTATATGCAATATCAAGTTTTTATAAATTTGAACATGAGTTTAAGATGCAACTTATAGATTTATCTATAAT